ATATGTCGTGGTGTACAAGTTTTTTCATTTCTTTGGTGGGGAGGGGAAGGTAGGGGACTTTTTCTTTTGCCAATTGAAAAGTCACTTGTTCCACATCCGGCCATTAAATACTATGTTGCTTGGTTTCTATATATAAAAGTACCCATGTGTTAGCAGTCAGATTGGATGGAAGAGGTGCAGCTAGTTCAGAGATTAAGGGCATGCTGAGGCCAAAGGGGTAAGGGCATGGGCTAGAGGGAGTAAGCACAAGTTTCAGATAAAAAGATAAGATTGTAGATTTAGATTAGGTTGGTTTTCCCTGGTTGTACATGGTGATTAAAAGGTCTCTGGATGGGCTACATGGGAATTCAGAGCTCTCTTTGTGTGTTATGTAATTTATTTGGGACTGATCAAAACTTGAGGTGAAAAATTCAAGGCCTTCATAAGAGACGTGATGTCAGGTTGCTCACTTTGCCTCTCCATTATACCAAGATTTAATCCATTGGGAATGCCCAGCAATAGTAGCACTTCACAGCAATTCCTACACCAGTTCATGCTTACTGGTATTTCTGCAGAGTGAAATCAGAGGCTGCCAAGAAAGGTCTGCCATCAGGAGCCACCAGGAGCATAATAAAGCCAGACAAAAAGAGTGACAGGTGCAAAGAAAGAAATGCACTGATTGGCTAGGAGTGGGAAGCCAGAGAAGGGAAAGCGGTGGTGGTGGGGAATGGAACGGGGGGGACACACAACAACAGATGGACAGAAATGGGAAAACAGTTATTCATGCTGTGATTCAGGCAGGCAGGCTGGAAAAGAAACTGAGCTCTTTATATAAAGTACCAATTTTTCAGGAATCAAGGCTCATTCAGCACTCAGTCACAGTGGAGCCACCTTGTCCACAGTGTAGGACATGGACTGGAGAGAGAGCAGACAAGGGCATCTTGGATTGGCGACTTATGGTAAATGTTTGCATGTGGTATATGATTATCTTGGGCTTGGCTGACTCCTCTGTTTGTGATGGCTCAGCCATTATGAAGGCCTCTACTGGCATTAACTCCAAGGAAACAATGGAGGTGAAAAGCAAAGGCTGAAATATAAAGTCCTGTTAAATATTTATTCCAGTAGAATCCTATGCAAACTAGTTGCCAGTGCCCTGTAAATCCAATTCCCAGCCTGCAGAGCACCCAGAGAAACATTTATCACCCAGCTAGAAGAGTCATGGAATACTCCTGCTGCTAACTCTCACTGTCGTGCACATCCATATCTGTTTCCCATACATGCACATACCTGCATGAATACTGTAGACATCTGTAACTCCCACACACATACGCATGCACATCTATATCTGACCCAATAGATATACAGCTATTCACACATACAGTAAGCCACACACCTTCACACTCCCCCCACTCCCTCCTCTCTCTCTCTCTCTCTCTCTCTCTCTCTCGGCCAAAGACATATGTATAACCTGCACAAACAAAATAACATATACTTCCCCAAACATACACGGATGCATGTGCATCTCTTACCCAGGCCCATGTGCATACAGATATGCATGCCTCTATGCACTAATACTTCCACACATCTGAAAGCAGCAGTGGCCAGATAGGAAGCTACCCTCTCTAGCAAACCTGATTACAAGCAAATCCAACTGCTTCTCTGCTCCGTGGGACTGATTACACTGCAGGACATTTAAAAAATGAGCACCACTTGATTCTGAAGTGGTGGAAAGCCTGTGCCATTGGACAGAGGTAAGCAGGCAATTCCAGAAGTCTGGGGTAGCAGGGAAAGGGGAATGTAGCCATGCTCCTTATTCATCTTTCTTCACTTCTTACTAAGTCCAGGGCTTAGGATTTGCCTTCTGCTAAAATAGATTTGAAATGGTTTCTAGGTGTCTTTTGCAGTGCTCAATCCAGCAGCAAGGAAGTTAATTATTTTAGCATTTAGGCACATAAAAAAAATCACAGTGCTCTGCCTTCTTGTTGGCTGGAAGAGCCCCCAAATGGTAGAAATGGCTACGCTGAAAGAGCTTGTGCTTGCCTGCAGATGTCTGTTTAATTAGCCGATGTGTGACGGCTGGAGACACAGCAGAGAAGTTTGAGAGCTGCCACTGAGACACATGCTGACTTCTGTAGTGATTACGTGGTGGCTAGATATCTCTGCATCTCTGGGACCTCTGCTCTCTGCTTCATAAACATGAATTACAGCATCCAGGCAGTAGAGGTGGGCACATGGGATCCCAGTAAATAAGGACATCTCTGTGCCACATGGCCTGTGCTTCTCCAGTAGGAATAGAGGTGGCTGTGAGGGGCCTAGTGGCTCTTTGTTCAGCATCACATTCCATTTTCTGTCCTGAACAGTGAGAGCCAGACCAGGAAGGAAATGCACTGCAGCCACGGAGGCAGCTGGGGATGGGGGAAGAGAGATATGGAGGAGGAAGCCACTGCCAAATCTTTGCCGCCAGAAGACCCAGCAGCAACCAGATGGTTCTAGCTGCAGATTCTCCTCCCCGCATGGCAGAAGGTTGAGTTGGAGAGGTCTGCTTCAGAAATAAACCCTGCTGCATTCTTAGTGCTGATGATGATAATTCCTGGTTTGTCTGTTGTATCTAGATTTTGATTACAAATCCCATGTCCTTCCTGGCTCTAGGCTCTCTCATTGCTGCTCCTTTCACCAGCCTGCCCAACCCCAAAAAAGATGTCAGGTGTCCAAACACACTGGTGCTCAGTGACAGGTTCCTGAGACACATGGTTGGGCACACCAGCATTTTGCAGAATTAACATTGTTCATGCATTCTCTGGGGCCTTGATCCACAAGGTGCTGTGTGGCTTAACTCCCACTGAAGTTATTTTATGATACAGGATTAAGTCCCAAGCCTCTAACTAATAATTATGCCTGAACTTCCTAGATGTTACTCCAAAGAAGCCAGATTTTCTCCAGTCATTGCAACCGGTGTTCACTCTGGACCCTAATGGTGCAAGCTTCAGTTTTTACATTGTTAACTATTGTATATTTGCTTATATTGACAAAAGTGTGCAGTTATCCTGTGACTGTGGGTAAAACGTAGGTGTCACCAACCCCATTCCAACTGCCCCCTTGTGTAGGGGGAGGAGTGTGGATACACAGATATCTATTTTTGTGGCCTGCAACAGCAATGCTGTTGCCCTCCTGGGTAGTCAGAGATTGTTCTGAAGCTTCTGCAAACCTCTCCTGACTTTGGGAATGGACAAATATCTGCAGGAATTTATCTGGCTCCAGAACCAAGCAAACTCCAAGCCCAGAGTTTCATTCCAACTGTGAATGCACAGTCTCCTCCTGTGAGCTCCTGGGAGGGACAGATGGATGCCTCAGTGACTGAAGAAACAGCCCTTTAGTCAGCAGTTAGTCATCAGTAAGTGTTGTGTATGAGGGACTGCTGAGCACTGCTTACAAGAATAAAAGGTTCTCTATGACTTTCCCAGCCCTGCCTGGCACTCTCCCTTCTCAGTGCCGTTCTCTTCCTTAGTTGTTCTTGGGGTCTTCCAAGAGCCTGTTTGAGGCCGCACGGCATTTGTATGCATGCTCTGGGAGTGGTGGGGGAGGGGGTGCTTTAATTAGAATGGCTCCTGGAAGGGTGGCCTCCTTGAATTCAAGAGCTGCTCTAATTAAAGCACCCGGAGCATCACGTGTATCAGCGTCCCCATGCTGAAAAATGGAGGCAGGGGTACTTTAACTAAAGCTCATTTGATGAGCTTTAGTTAAATCACCCCCACTGCCATTTTTCAGCAAGGGGACACTGATACATGTGATGCTGGAGTCCGCTGGAGCAGGGTAATTACCATGCTCCAGCAGACTTGATTAATCGATGCTGCTCTGATGTGCTGTAATTACAATGTGTCAGAGCAGCCTCCCTGCACATGTATAGGCATCCTCAGTGCTCTGCCTTGCTTTGCCTAATCTGCCCTACACACCAAATCCTTTTCTCTTTGCCTTCAGTCATGCCAGTTAACGCCACCAGGCTCCACCAGCTGATGTACTGCAATCCATCAGTTGTATTGAGAGGCTAGAGTAGAGCTCTCAGAGCAACCATCTAGGAGCAGTATCAAAAGGGTAGTATTGACAGGCAACATCTGGTGTGGCTGTTTCTTCATTAGCAACACTGAAGGTGAAAGTTCTGCTTGTTGTTGGCCAGTTTTGTAAATAAGACCCATGCACCTCAGAGCAAGCACCTTCCAGTGCATGTGTTCTCTTTCCTATGTGTGTAGCAAGAGGAATGGTTTCTGTGACTTCAAGGGATGGATGGCAACCCGCAATTCCACCATCACAAAAATATAGACCAAGAGCAATAGACAAGGCATGGAAATGAATTCCATGCAAGCTGTGATAGTGCATGGTGCTGTCTAGGCCACCCTCAAATAGCCTCTCAGCCTAAAACCCAGATAAGAGTCATGCCCTGTAAGGGTGAAAGGACCATAAACATGGAGAGAGACTTATAGCTATGATGAATGTGTCTTGAAGCTTCCACAGATGGCTTCTCCCAGATGAGAAGGACCCTGGTCCCAGGAAGTAACCTTGTGAGCCAACTCAGAGTAGGGTGATGGAGCTTTCCAAACCTGTATGGTACAGCAGCAACAACAGAGCAAGAGCAGCTGGCTTTGTACTTTCGGCCAGCTGCTTTCTGAGCTTATGCCTGCATCATGATTCCAGAGACTCAGCCTGGCTGTACCACTCTACCAAGACAGTATGGTCATATAATGGATGTATAGGATCATCCATACATCTTTAACCATTATCACCATTGTATTCCAGGACTCTATTCTCCACCTGTTGTCTTCCTTTTGTCAAATGCACTGAACCAAAATGAGAGAGACCTAATCCTTTCAGTTACATTAGGAGGCAACCATGAGGCATCAGTTACCTTAGGAGGGCAAATATCATATGCAGTGAAGCCTCCCTTACAATGGAAGCTTCTCATGTCAAAAGGAAGACTTGATTCAGTGCTCACTGAAGCCCAGTGTAATGTTTCCCATCATCTCCAGCAGGACTTGGATCATGCCCTCAGACCTGTAATCCCCCTGAGACATCACTGGAAGGAAGGAGGAAAATAGCAACAGTGGATCCCATTGGAGAGAGATCTCAGTGGGGCATGATGATTTTGCTCAGGCCAAGCTAGAAGCCATCCAGGGTAAGAGCCATCAACTCCTGCAGGATTGGAGCTTGCATTTATTTTTCTAAACCTTGTGATTGCAAAGTGAACCTGCTGATCATGAGCCCAGTGATGCCAACCTGAATCTGCAGGCAGACATCTCCTGCGCCTTAGCTGTCACTCAGAGCTTTCCCAGTCTTCAGCAGAGGGAAAACTAACCCCAGCACTATCAAGTTAGGTCAGGGGTGGGCAAAATGCGGCCCGGGGGCCGGATGTGGCCCTCCAGGCCATTCTATCCGGCCTGTGGGGCCCCTAAAAAAATTAGAAAATTAATATGTATCTGCCCTGGGCTGCCTGTCATATGGCCCTCGATGGCTTGCCAAAATTCAGTAAGCGGCCCTTGGCCCAAAATAATTGCGCGCCCCTGAGTTAGGTTCACACACTTGTTGGAACATGTGAGATCTATGAAGCTCAGGCTTGTTTCACAAACAGCTGCTTCTTGGGATGCAGAGAACCCAAGGAACAGAGACCTGTGGGGTGTCATCTGGCATTGCCTGCCATCTTCCCCAGCCATCAGAAAGCAGGGCCAGGGCTGAGTAAGTGAAGACAGACCCTATTACAATAAGCTGGGGGAGGAGGGGCACAGCAGCTCTTTCCCCTGGAACCTTGGCTCCTTCTTTGGTGAGCAGAAATGGGCCTTTGCCTCCAGCTACCTGTCAGGAAACCTCTGACTTCTTCAACTCACTAAAGCTTGTCTGCCTTTGATCCAAATCCCCTCCTCTTTCTCTTGGTTACCTCCTTCCTTGCCCTTTCCCCATGGGGCCTCATGGTTTGTGATAACTGAGTAGGTCTTCCTTGAAGCATTGGAATCATGAGCTTTTCCCAGAGAGTGGGCCAGTGGTGTGCCTAGCACGTGGCTGAAGGTTGCCCTGGGGAGTTGTCAGTGAATTCCTGATGCTCCATCAGAGAAGGCAGAACTAAACATCCTGGCAGGGCAGCTTGGGGCAACTCAGGCTGTGCAGGGCAGGAACAGTCCAGGTCCAGCTGCTGCAGCTCACAACCCTTGATAAATTTGCAAACTGCAGGGGTCACGGATTTGGGAAAATCAATTTTATGCTTTTCATCCTCCCAAATTAAAAACATGGCAGCAAAGAGGGGTTTTTTCCCCCTCCCCGCATCTCTCTGGGAAGCAGTAAGGATTGCAGAAGGGAATTGAAATGTAATGAAAACAGCTTAATCTGGCTAAGGGGGATATTGGCTCAGCAGAGAGACTGCTGTCACCTCTGCCCTACTGGGGTGGGAGTCAGCAAGGGAGCAGCAGGACAGAGGGATTTGCACTATTTTGCCTTGGAAAGAAATGGAGGGCCCTCATCTCCCAGTACTAGTGGCAAAATTCACCTACACCCACCACCCAGGGGCATGGGAATGCCAGTCACAGGGTTTGATGCCAGCAGAGTGCTGTGCAGGAGGGAAAGGCACCTTTTTGTTGCCATTAAATCAAAGGAACTCCCCTTCTTGTATGAGGAAAACCTGTCCTCCTTGAATCCCAGCTTCTCAGATTCCAGCGTAGGCAAGATGCATGCATAATTGATACAGCAGCACATCATCGTGAAATAGAGAGTTATTGCTCCCAGCAAGCCTACTGGTTTCCCATGCATTTCAAAATTGCCCTCCTACCCATGGCACAGTCCTCATTGTCCTCTATTCCCCTCCCCTAAGGAGACAGCCATCCTTTCGCCCTCATACGATTACTGGTGAAAGAGCCTTCCTTTCTGTGGCCTCTGTTGCATCTTCTCTGTACCTCCTGTCCTCTATATTCTGTTCCTTGTCTCAGCTGACCCTTTATCTGTTTCCCATCTTTACTCATTTCTCTTTTCCTCCATGCTATGATCTTTAAGGCAGTTTTGTTTAATTCTGAGGCACAACATCTACAGAGGACAAAATACAGCAGATGATGATGTGCTTTATGGCTGGCAGACTGGACAAAAAATTCAATAACTAAAGTTTCTCCTAATACAAGTCAGGAGATTTCCAGTTGAAATATTGATCCCCTTTTTCTGCATTATAACAGGCATATTTACTGTCAATATTGTGAGAAATCCCAGTAAAGACAGATCAACATCTACATTAAGTTTTCCTGAAGAAATATGCTTCATGAGATGTATCGTTGTAATCAGATCTGATTGCAATATATATATATATATATATATATATATATATATGTCCTGCACCACAACCCATGGATTAGGATGGGTTGACACTGAGCCCTAAATGAAGAGCTATTTTTACTAAGCTACTACTACAGTTACATAAGTATTGCAAACAATAAAACCTTGAGCCAGATCTGGGGGAGGTGGTGTATATATATATATATATATATATGGAATGCCCAGATCTGGATCAAGGTTTTATTGTTTGCAACACTTACCTAATTGTAATAGTGGCTTAGTAAAAATAGCTCTTCATTTAGGGCTCAGTGTCAACTCATCCTAATCCATGGGTTGAGGTGCAGGACCCAAAATGCAGTGAGAATCTGGGGGTCAACAGAGCCATGGGACTGAACAGCAAAAGAAACCCTGCTGGGGGCAACAATCAGCTGAGTGCCACACAGCAGAACACCGTGATGGCTTCTACTGGGGCAGGTTGAATGAAGTTGAGATGGTCAGGCATTTTCACAACTAGGCTGTGCGCAGTCAGACTCAGGGTCAAGGATGTGAGTCCAGAGTAAAAATTCAGAACAAGGTCATGGCCAGGGTTTGGAGATGGCAATCACACCAGAGTCCAGATACCAAAGTCATGACTGGAGTCAAAGAACCAGAATGGTGGTCAGAAATAAGCCAAGGCAAAGTAGCCAGGTTTAGGGTCCTGGGGTCAGGAATAAGCCAGGATCAGGATAGCAGTTTCAGGATTTGGTCCCTTCTAAAGTTTGCCACAGTCTCCCTGCCTATTCATTCATGTCAGGCAGTATCACCATTAGCAGGTTTGATCTCTTTCCATAGACTAGATTCAGAAGACTGAATTATTTCCTACTTTGGAGCTATTACTATTTCTTCCATTTCTTTCAATTCCTGGTTTCAGTCCTTTAGCCAACTGGTTGACACTATGTTAACTTTAGAGCACAAGCAAGCTATGAGCTGCCTGGCACTTGCATGATTCTTTAGTTTATCTGAATTCTGCTGAGTCAGAATGATTAGGTACTTGAAACAACAACCTGGACCTTCCCAGTCCAGCTTGCTTTGTAGCTGGGCACCAAGGGCATGTGCAAAAAATGGCTTCTCTCTGAGGACATGACAAGAGTCTATGTGAGTGTGTGTGCACCTATTAGAAGGAATGGGTGGGATGTGACTGATGGTGAGCTGCAAGGCAGAGGCTGCAAAAAAGGGTGTTTTTGGAGGAAAGTGGCTCCATGAGCCTGATTGTCACGCATGTTAGAACCATGAATGTACATGCAAAATGTAGAGGCAACTGCATGCTTAACTTGTACATATAGCAGTCATGTGCATGAATTGGGTAATTGCCTGCACCAGTGACCAAGAAGGCACCTGCTTGAACAGCCACTCAGTCTGTAATGGAAAGTGCATCAATATGGGTACACGTTTGGCACCAGCATTTTCCGACCGCAGCAATAGAATACAGGGCCCGATTGTCGGACAATGCTGGTGCCAAACATGTACCCATATTGATGCACTTTCCATTACAGACTGAGTGGCTGTTCAAGCAGGTGCCTTCTTGGTCACTGGTGCAGGCAATTAGCCAATCGGGCCTTGCATTCTACTGCTGCGGGAGATAAGGGAGATGGAGCAGTATGAACTCAGCGGCAATCCACGCTTGGTACAGTGGGGGCTGGCAGCACAGAGCAAACCAGTGAGTGAAGTTCCTGCATTACAACTTTGTACCTGAACATGACGTAAGTTTGCAGGTGAAATAAGTCAGGTTTTTCTGCATATATGCATCAGGTAACATCAAACAAGTCCTGCTTTTGTCTAACTCCAATGCACAATCTCCTAGGCAGATAGCAAGCTCTGTGGAAGGCCTCTGACCTGAGCAGAATCCGCAGGCTGCCACAAGGGAAATCCTCTGCGTCATCCTTACCTTTTTCCAACAGCCCACAGAACCAGTGTCTTATCCTGGCCAAAGGTGAAGAGAGCCTTTTCTTCCACCCCAATGGGCAGAAGCCCCCAAGGGTAGCCTCTCAAAGCCTCCCACCTCACTCCTATTGGACCACCCAGTGCACACTTCATATTCTTGCCCCATTCACAAGAGATAGGACAGCTGTGTCCACCCTTGGAACCCCAGCCATTGCCAGGCAGCTGTTGCCCAGGGAGGCTGATGGTTGAAGTTGGAGACAGGCTTGTCAGCAACCAGAGAGGAAATGTGATTGCTCTTCCTTTCTCTCATGTATTTTCCCCCATTTCTGCCTAGCAGCTTTCAGCATATCACACACCTCTGCTGAGCAAGTTCTGTGCAGAAGAGGGGTGCTGACCCATGAATGACCCATGCAAGCAGGCCTGCAGCAGAAAGGGGATGAAACACTCAACATGCAGCTCAAGCAAGGAGCTAGCTATGGCTGTGACTGATAGCAAGGATCTGTTAGTGCCTTGGAGCTGGTTCACCTGGAGATGCTGAAATCCAGCTGGGAGCCTCACAAGAACATGTATGTTTCTGACACTCATTAAGAACAAAGCTCTGCTTGGGAAAGTTTCAACAGCTCTGCCCCCTCAGCTGAGGGCCAAGAGCCTGCCAGCCTGCTGCTCAGGCATACTGTCACCAGCTCAGTGGGCAAAAAGAGGCATCTGGGGAGTGTGAGCCAAAGGAGGACTGAGATATGAAATCTGCATGTTGCACTGGGCTGTGACAGAAGCTGCTGGGAATGGATTTATCAGGATGGGGATGCTTCAGAGCACAGGCCTTGAGTGAGCCTAATCCACCTAGCCTGGCTATGTTGCTGCCTTTTCAAGTTAATGTTGCTGCTATGCAATAGAGAGCTAATGTCCTGCTCCTGATGGGTATAAACCAGTAATACGCTCGGGGAATATGAA